TCTCTATCAGACAACTTTTCGATACTAAGATATTTTTGACACAGCAGAAATGCCTCTCACGCAGTTGCTACACTTTCGACCGTTACTACACACCTAGTCGGGTTCAGAATCATACAATCTAACGATTTTATAGGGTTTTTGCCGTATTGCTATGAGACATGGTTTTGGTCGTCATCTCTCGTACTACAATGTGCGTGTAATACAGCTATGGTAGCGTAGCGCTAGCGCTACGCAGAATTTACACCTGCGTAGGAGCACTGTGCAACTGCTACGAAACATTTACCTCACATGCTACGAAGCCTCTACACTACACGCAGCAAAGCTACGCAGCCGCTACGACTTGCTACGTAGTCTGCGGCTACACCGTAATTTGTCTACGTCACAGTTCGAGCCTCGCGCTAATAAATATTGTACAGCCTACGGGCATCTGAAACTGTCCAGTAATGTTCCAAGCTTGAAATATTATAAAACAAATGTTCTAATTAATGTTACAAGTATCTGTTCCTGCAACCGCTACACTCCCTGTCAGCTAATCTTCACAAACTCAAACATTCCTACGTTACTCGACTTGTTTTCATTTTATGTACTTAATTATATTTAGTGTGAAGTATTGCACTAACTGCTTAGTACTTGAAACCTCTGTCATTTACTTTGACATGATTTCAAGCATCACCAGTGACATTATAACTCTCGAATTATCGTACTAGTTATCGTTGCCCCAACTTAGTCCTCTTATTTATGAAATAATATTTGATTCGTTAAAAACAATTTTTTAAATCTGTAATTTGTCCCTACCTAATACCACGTGTGTGTGTGTGTGTGTGTGTGTGTGTGTGTGTGTGTGTGTGTGTGTGTGTGTACTGACACGATGTGCTGCCGCCCGGCGCCCGTACGTTGAACAAATGTAATCCATTCGTGAGATATATCTGTCGGTGGAACCGTTTGAGCGATGACTTCCGCGAACTTCGCAACAAAATAAGAAGCGAACGAGAAAACTTGTAAATACAAATCCTTTGGAAACTCGCTTCACTTTATAAGAGACGCTAATTGCCAATTAAGATCAGCTTACACTGAGCGCGGAGCGACGCCGGATGGAAAGATAAAAGTGTTAATAGCGGGTCCCGTGAGACGCGCACCGGCCGAGCACCGGTCGGGACAGGGACCCGTCGGAACCACCTTGCGGTTTCATGACGGCGATATATTTTATGTTAAAGCGCATACATTACAACTCGTACTACTGTATCTGTCCACCGCGCTGGGAGCTCCCATCACACGCCACGCGCCACTCTGACTACTGTTTAATAACAGCCTGCGTTTTTGTTACACACACACACACACAATATATACACATCACTCACGCAAACACACACACGTATACACAATACGTATAGTGACTGCGAATAGACTGCATACTTACTGAATTACTTCGTCTCGTCGTAAAGTTGGAGCGGAACTAAAGTTGCTCACTATCTGACCGTTCCGGTCTGTGTGCTACAGACAGACAGACATACGCACACACAGCGTTATGTGTGTGTACATGTGCTCCAATTCATATTTCATACAATTTCACATCTACTCGTATCTTACTAAAGTTCCGGTAAACATGACGCGGGCGACAGCGCAGGGAACCACACAGAAGGTTAAGGTACTACACACCCGTAACTCGTGTCTGTACTTCCATCCGATATAATATTACAGACTGAGGTTATCGAGTACACGTCTCATACATTGGATTTATTTATTAATTTTCCTACTTAACCTGATCTTATTATTTAACTATTGTAGGTAGCTTATAGTTAAATAATAATGTCTGTATTTTTTTTTTAATTTTAATAAACGTTGCCCCACATTAGGATTTTCTCCTGTGTCGTGGGTACGTTTACAAACATACAAGTTCACATACACAATGACACCCAGACCCGAAACAACAATTTGTAGTTCACACAAAGTGTTGTTCCGTGCGGGAATCGATCCCGCGACACGTTGCACCGGCCGGTTGCCCAGCTACCGCACCAACCGTGCAGTCATGAAGTGCAGTCGTGTATGAAATTCAATCCGTACTACATGCATTACGGTCGCGTGCAATATTAATTCATTATTTATAAGCATACAATAAGATTTCCACAACAATTAAACAGAATGGGAGTTCTGCAGGCGTGACTGTCGTACGACACTGTATGGATAGAATTCATCAACTGGCCGGAGATCGCGGGGGCGCGGACGGGGCGCGGACGGGGAGCGCGGGGGCGCGGGGTCGGCTCACAAGTTTTTGCCCCACGCACAGCAATATAAATCATCCGCCGATGATATCTGAGGCGCTGAAAAACTTGCGCAAACTTTTACAAGTCCCTACACAGGCGAGATTTGCAGGGAGACGCG